AGTTCTGAAATGTGGCCGAGCACCCGAGTGAAGGGGTTAGCCGGTCCTCAGGATAAGCTGGGGAGGTAGGAACTATTACGATATTGAGGGAACAGGCTCAGATAGGAGGGATCGACAACAGCATCAACTGCTGCCAAAAGTGATCTCTGGGTGCCAGGAACCCAATTGCAAGCACGTGGGGCGGGTACAGATGGCCGTGGGTGGAGGAGTGAAGGGGGTGAGAAAGTTGCAGGCAGCTCTTCAAGGAGGGGCTGAAAACATGAGACAGACAGACAGAGACAGACTGAGAGCGTGCCTTCTGCTCTGGAATAGCATGGTAGCAGGGAGCGTGGCTGTGCTCTGTTGAGTTGACACGGGGAACCTTGGAGGCTTCGGGCTGGTTGATGGAGCCGGCGGAGACATGCGGAGAGTCCCGGGGCCCTTTATCTGGAGGCTCAGGGGCAGCTCCCTGAAGGTGGCCATTGAGCTGGGCACGAAGGTCCGCTTCTTGGTAAGACCCCTGCTGCGCTTAGAGGGGTCGGAGGAAGAAAATGAACACCCACGGAGTCTCCACGGTGGGCCAAGCACAGCGCCAGGCACTTCACTTCCACACTCTCCTGTGGTCCTCAAAGCAGTCGCTAACCCGCGGCCTGTGTCTTCCACCAGGTCATTCATTCATGCTGCCTCCACACTCACTGGCCAGACGCTGCTCTGGGTGTGTGTGTGGGGGGGGCGGTGCCACGGGGCCCTGCCCTCAGGCAAGAACACCGTCCCCCACCTCGCGAGCATTCGCTTCTCTGCCTGCAAAATGGGGACGCTGCTGCTCGCTGCGGGTTGTGAGAATTGAGTGCGATGGCCTAGCGGACACTGTTCATGTGCCGCCTGACACCCTGCACACCTGGCCCGGCAGAACCTGCCGGAAGTTCCGAGTGCACCCGGCTTCCTGTGACTCTGTCCGTGGGCTTCGCTGGTTGCCAGGCACTGAGCCGCTGGGAGGCCACCACTGCCGCGGGAGCTGGTGCGCTGGCGCGAGCCTCGGCCGGAGGGATGATGGACGTTGGCGGGTAAATGCCCCTTGGCGGGCGAGTCTGAGGGGCACGCACAGGACCCCAGCAGTGAGCTCGGCTGCCCTGGGTCACCTGCCCATCAGCACACCCTTCGTTGGCTCCCCGCCCCCCACGCTTACTGCTTCCCTGAATCACCTCCCACACAAACTCCCGTCTCAGTCAGCTGTGGGGCAAACCCAGCCTGGCACAGATGGCGACAGCCTGGCACTCAGTCGGCTCACTTTCACTTCTGCAGAACCTGACTTGGTGGAGGACAGTCAGCAGCAGCCAGGAGGGGGCCTGGTGGAGGAGCAGGAGCGGGAGGGGGAGCCCTCGGGCGCTGACACAGGCCCAGCGGAGGCGGGTTCATCTCCGCACAGCACTGCAGTTGTGAAGTTACTGTCTTGTGTTCCAGGTTCTGCATCCACTTTCCATCCCAACGCCCCAGATCGTGTGCTCCAACTCAGGGTTCTACGTTCAACACATTAGGCTTCCAGCCCAGGTCCTCTGTTCCTTGTTGCAAACGTCACCTCCCTCCTCTCTGCCTTGCAGGTTCCCTGTGTCAGCCCTGCCTCCGGGCTGAGGAGCTGATGCAGGCTCGCCTGCCCTCCGTGCTGGCCAGTGTGGCCTGCCCTCTGGCCAGTGTGCGCGCCCGCCTGGCTCAGTGCTGAGTGCCAAGATCCGGGACCTGGTCAAGGCTGTCACCCTGCCACCGCCTGCCCCCCTTCACCCGCCCCCACTACAAACTCGTGTGCTCTTCCCGCATCGGGAGCAAGGGGCCGGGCAACCTGATGGTGACCAGCCGGAGCCTGTGGGACCCGCACGCAGACAGCTTTGCCACCTCCCACTACGTGAGCCCCTCACTCTTCTGCATGGCGCTGATGCACGCCATCTATTCGGAGAGAACTCTGTGGGATGAGGGGTCTGGGACCTGCGTGGGGCCCCATGCTAGAGCCTGGCCCCCAAAACTCAACGCCTAGCCCATCCGTCGGTGACCTGTCAGAGCAGCGCCAGCTGCACGTCATGGTCAATGAAAAGAAAACGAGGACGAGCATCCACACTGGCCTCCTCGGGCACCCGGACCACACACTGCTGATGCCTTTGCCTCTGGCTGGAATCATGTCAGCCACGCACGGCTCCCAGCTGGCTGTGCAGATCAGACGCTCGGAGGGGCAGCTATCTATGTCTTTGATTAATAAAAAATGGGAGGTAAATTAATAATGACTTAATACATGCAATTTGGGATCAAAATCTTCCAAAGCGTGGGGAAAATAACAAAGAGGGGAGTTCCTGAGAGGGAAAAGTCAGAGGCCGCCCTGAGCCGGGCACTGCTGAGAAGGGCCAGCAGGGAGAGGCCAGCAGGGCCCGAGTTCTCACACCCACTGTGTGCCAGTGCTGTGCTTGGGCTCCCACGGGCTTCCTTCACCCTCACACAACCCTGGGGGTGTGCTACCACCCCACTGTGTAGAGGAGTAAACCGGGGCTCAGAGAGGCCAAGTCACTTGCTTAGGATCAGTAAGAGATCTGAGCCTAGTTCAGCCTCACATAAAAAGGAACAACATTTATTAAAAAGGAAAAATGCCCTAGCCGTTCTGCTCAGTGGATAGAGCATCGGCCTGCGGACCAAAGGGTCCCAGTTTCTATTCTGGTCAAGGGCATGTCCCTTCGTTGTAGGCTCCTCCCGGCCCACAGGGCGCGTGCAGGAGGCAACCAATCGATGTTTTTCTCACATCAATATTTTTGTCTTTCCCTCTCTCTTCCACTCTCTCTAAAAATCAAAGGAAAAATCCCAGTTTCTATTCTGGTCAAGGGCATGTCCCTTCGTTGCAGGCCCCTCCCGGCCCACAGGGTGCATGCAGGAGGCAACCAATCGATGTGTTTCTCTCACATCAATATTTTTGTCTTTCCCTCTCTCTTCCACTCTCTAAAAATCAATGGAAAAATATTCTCGGTGGGGATTAAAAATAAACCAACCAACAAACAAATAAAAAGAAGGAAAAAAGAGCCCCACCTGTGGTGTCTGGAAAGTCACTCTGAGTTTCCGAGGGAAAGAAGGGGGGCAAGCAGAAAGACGGAACAGCGTGGAAGCTGAGTGCTGGGCATTGTTTACACCGTTGCTGCTGTGTCTAGACCAGGTGGCACACAGTAGGTGCTCACAACTGAGAGACTGAAAAGTTTGGAGGCATATAGGGACATAGCAAATCCTGAGGTGGGGGAGAGGGAATGAATGTTTTGTTGTTTTTAAATATATTCTTATTGATTTCAGAGAGGGAGAGGGAGAGAAACATCAATGATGAGACAGAATCATTGATCGGCTGCCTCCTGTGCGCCCCACACTGAGTATCGAGCCTGTAATCCGGGTATGTGCCCTCACTGGGAATCAAACCTTGACCTCCTGGTTCACAGGTCGACGCTCAACCACTGAACAACACCAGCCAGGCGGAATGAATGTTGTTAAGCCTCTAGTTTCGGAAGCACTTTGAGCAGGTATTGTTCATCTTATTTTTTAAAATCTTTGATTATGGAACTATTTCAAAAAGAAAAAATGGTAGAGCAGAATAAAGCAGAACCAGTGAACCCGTCACCCAGCTTCACCAGAGGTTCCTGTCTGGCCATATTCATTTCAACTATGCTTATAACATAGTGACACCAGTAAGAGCCGTCCACCCTCAGCCCCTTCCGTCCCCAGAGGTCACCTCTCCTTGAAGTGGGTGGGTCTCCTCCCCGAGTACTCGGCGTCATTTTGTGTTTTTAAACTTTCTGACTATGGTTATCTCACTGTGCCTTTCCCTTTTCACTCAGTTATTCTGTCTCAGGATTTAGTCTGTGCTGGCACGTGCAGGCCTGGTCCTTCACTGTGCCTGCCGTGCGGCGTTCCGGTGCAGGTCTCCATAGAACAGTTCAGCTCGTTTCTGCCTTCTCTTACTGATGCACAGACAGGCACTTTTTACTCTGCTATTTCAAACGTGTGGCAATGACCATCTTTACACACCTCTCCTGGTGCACGCATGTGTCACGTATGATCAGTGTAACAATTACAGCATGCTGAAATGCGTGCACCCCTCCCTGGCCTTGCAGCATGGCTTGCTGTCGCATAAGCTCAGTTTCCTCATCAGTAAAGTGGGCACCAAAATGCATTTTGGCAACAATTACATGCTTCAATGTAGCTGTAAGCACATTTTGTAACCTGTAAAGTACTCCATGAGTATTAGCTGTTTATTATTCAGGCAGGAGACATTCAGGATGCACGGAGCATCCCCACACTGGGAACACACCAAACAGGCCTCGGTAGGGGACCCTTGGTGTGCTCGCACACAAACGAGAGTCTCAGAGGTGCAACACAGAACACACGCGCCCGCTCACTAACCTGGCCTGGAGCGGCAGAGGCAGGAAAGGCTTCCGAGAGGAAGTGACCCTGAGTTGAGCCCTTAGAAGACAAGGCCAAGGCGCGTGGCGACAGGAGGACGGCAGGATGGCCCAGGCAGGGGAAGCAGCCAATGGGAAGGGAATGGCTGATGCAAGAGAACAAGCTGGAACACACGAGCTGGGGGCCAGGGGGCAAGGGGTCAGTATGAAGGAAGTCTGGAGAGGTGAACAGCTGAGAGGCCGTATCCTGAGCGTGGCAGGCAGCTGCTGGAGGATCTTAAGCAAGGGAGTGATGGGCTCAGATGAGGGTTAGGAAAAGGGCGCTTGATGAGCGCTGGGGGCCTGTGCCTAGTCAACAATAATGCACGGTACACGTAAAAGTGTGTTACGAGGGCTGATCTCATGTTAAGTGTTCTTACCACAGTCAAAAAGATTGGTCTGGCTGCAGTGTGAGAGGTAGGGAGGGGCAGCGGCGGGGGGG